GATTCTGATCCACCTGAATATTATTTAGTAAAAGATTCAACATTTCCTCTCAAATGCAAGCTGTTCTAACTCTATTTATTAAATAAGTAATTATTTGTATTAATTTGAAATGATACCTTGATCATCTACCAGAGAACCAAATATATGGTTTATTTTCTATGATCTAGTAACAGATTTCTAGGCCAATACCATAAAACTACTATAACTTCATAAATTTTGATGAGTCCAGCCTCATAATTTTTCTTTTTTCAGATTTTTCCAGGTACCTCTGCCATGTTATTCTTCAAAATAAACTTCAGTTATTTATGAACTATCTTCTTAATAAATAACAAAGAAAATCTCATTGATATTCTGATTAGGATCGCATCAGACTTAAAAGATCACTTAATAAACAATATTGAGTTTTTAAAGAACACGGCACTTTTTCCCATTTATTCACATCTTTTAAGTCATTCAGGAGAATTTACATTTTCTTCATATAGATCTTTCATATTTCTTTCAACAGGTTTGATTAGCACTGGGTGAAAATGAACATAAAGTTATAGACCCTACAAAGAGTTGTGGTAAAGGAATTACCTCTGAAAAAGCCACTATTTTAAAGTAGTTTGGGATCTGCTCCAAAATAAGCAGAAGAGCCAACATTTCCTTATCAAGCTCCTCTATTTTTAACAGAGAATGTCAACCTTGCTTTGGATCAACTTACATAAGCCTCCCTGAACTTAACTTTATTGATTACAGCTACCTACTATGATACTCCTACAAATTCATTAGTCCTCTAAAATTCATTCCCATTGCATACATTTTTGACTTCACCTCACTTTGACTATTCAGTGAAAATTACAGTTCTTATTCTTAGAAAAATTCACACAATTTCACATGTAATTTGAAGAGACTCAGTCATACTGGTGAAAATGCCTGCCATAAAACGTGCTTGGATTAGAACGAACCTATTCCAGCCAGCTGCTACAATCACCTGCTGACAGTTCTACAGAGTAGTTCAGGTACAGTGGCACATTCATCACACTTCATATGTTGGCTTTCAAATTTAAAACTTTTTTTAAAAAATAAATGTAGACTTTACAGAAAAGTTATGAAAACAGTACAAAAGTCTTTAATCAGATTCCTCAAAAGTTAAAACATTTAAATTGTAAACAACATGAACTTGAGATTTTGAATATATTGCAGCTCAGGTTGCTTAAACAAGCAATCAATTTAACACCTAGGGAGTATTAGTAATAGTCTTAGTACAAGACCAACTTCTCATATCAACAATTCCAAAATCTCCAAAACTGAAAGATTTTTAACTCCTTTAGCAGCAAAACCTGAGTCAGTCTACAGTCATTATTTACCCATTATAAGGTAAACATTTACAGGTTTCACTGCACAAATAGTACTGTCTGATTACACAGTGTTGTCCCAGACCTATGGGGGTGAATGGAATACACAGTAAATGTGGCATATTCCTAAGGATTTCAGTGAAGGGAATGTAAATCTTCAATGTCACTGTATATTATTTACTATGTGCCAAGTACTACTTTAGTTATTATTAATATTTAATTTAATCCTCTTAATAACTTGGTAAGTCAAATCTTGCCCTAGGTCACCTGATGTAAATCAAACAGTAGAGGCAACATGCAAATTTACATTTACCTGAGTCAAAGCTATAACCAACTTTTGAAAGTTAATAGAAAAAAAGTATTGAAAACAGTCTCTTAGAATACTGGGGACACGGGAGCTGAATAGAATTCTTTGAAAAAATTTAATTTCCTCTCTTCCCTCTTTCCAACAAGTACCATTGCAATCATCTAAAACCTTGCTCATTTTCATGTGCATAGCTGGTAAGACCTAAGTATCTCAAACAAGGTACCTCTAAATGTCTTTTTTTCATTTTTTTCCTCTTAAAGGTAAAATATAAGACACCAGAATCCTGATTCTATCTACATTATATTCATTATCTAGACCAAGAAAAGATTAGAACTATACATTCAATAAGTATGTCTTCTGTATTCATCTAAATCAGCGGTTCTCAAATGGCAGTGATTCTGCCTCCTGCAGTGGACATCTGGCAATGTCTTAACAAGAAATTAAAAATCCAAGAGCTCAACCGCTCTAATAAAACTGCCCACAAAAAAGTTTGATAATATTAAACTAAAGTTAAGGTATAACTAAAACAAGCACTCATACTTTTCTGATGAAAGTACAAAGTGGTAATGTCTTATGGAGACAAAGTGGAGGCCGGGCGCGGTGGCTCACGCCTGTAATCCCAGCACTTTGGGAGGCCGAGGCGGGTGGATCATGAGGTCAAGAGATCGAGACCATCCTGGTCAACATGGTGAAACCCCATCTCTACTAAAAATACAAAAAATTATCTGGGCATGGTGGCGCGTGCCTGTAATCCCAGCTACTCAGGAGGCTGAGCCAGGAGAATTGCCTGAACCCAAGAGGCGGAGGTTGCAGTGAGCCGAGATTGCGCCATTGCACTCCAGCCTGGGTAACAAGAGCAAAACTCTGTCTCAAAAAAAAAAAAGTTTCTCTCAAAAGTTTAAGTACATTGCACTCTTTAATCCAGTAATTATGCTTTCTAGGAATTGATCCTATGGAAAGTCAGGTAAACACACAAAACAATTTGTTCAAGGCTGTTTAGTACAGTGTTATTTATAATAATTAAAAACAGACATAAATTAAAATGTTCACGAATATGGGAATAATTAAATAAAATAGGATATAGTCAAAGGTGGAATATCATACTTAAAAAAATGAGGTGTAGATTTGCATTAGCAAGAAAAGAGGTTCACAATGTATTGTTATATGGAAAATCTAGCTGCAGGAAAAAATGATGTGTATTTCTCAATAAAAATTAATGTTTAACTTGGGCAGAGTCATGTTACTATGTAGTTTTATTTAAGTATTTTATCTTGTGTTTTACTTTTTTAGATGAATAAAAGAGAAAAAACATGATTAGAAGGAAACATTACAAACTTTTATTAGTGGTGACCTCTAGATAGTGGAATTACAGGTGGAATTCTTCCTTTAAACTGTTTAATGATACAGATGTATTATTTATGTAATAGCTACTATGAACTGATTCCTTCCCACATGCCAGTTACTGCCTACATGAATTAATACACTAACAGATCATAACTCTACAGGGTGGCTATCATGAGATCCATTTTGCAGATGGTGAAAGACTAAGAAATGGATTCTAAGCCTATTATTACATACTATGTTGCTAACCTCCTCCTGGGAAACACTAAAAATGTAAGAAAACCAATCCCAAATCTCTATAAATTTATGAGCAAAAGACTAATGCAAGAATAATCTGATTTGCCATTTCAGAGACCTGGGGAGTTTCAAAACAACCAAAAGTATACTAAACCTGGAAAATACACTGTGTAATATTCTTGGTAAAAACTTCCCACATACATTCATGTATCTAGAGACATAAAAATATTATACTCGAGGCCATCTGCTTTTCATTACTGAGAACTAATCTCTGACTACAATAATTCTGAATGGTTTCTTTCAAAAAACAGGAACACATTTTGTATTTCAGAAGGCACTAACAGTTACCATAAACTTCAAATTACGGCAATTTCTACATACGTCAATTTCAAAATGCACAAAGGAATTATCTCACATTTGATAAATGCAAGACAATACTTTTTTAAAGACAGGGTCTCATTCTGTCACCCAATTGGAGTGCAGTGGCATGGTATCGGCTCACTGCAACCTCTGCCTCCTGTGCTCAAGTGATCCTCCCACTTCAGCCTCCAGAGTAGATGGGACCACAAGTGGGTGCCACTGCACCTAGCTAATTTTTCTATTTTTAGTAAAGATGAGGTTTCACTATGTTGCCCAGGCTGGTCTCAAACTCCTGGCCTCAAGGGATCCATCTGCCTCAGCATTACTTTACTTTTGGAAGACAACCAGGAAGAATGAAAAACCATTTTTACAAATATTTATGTCTTATACACAATAAATGGACAATGTCATCTTCTAATTATGTTAACAGCAGAAAAAGTAGAAGTTTTACTAGAATAATGATAATTCTGATGGCTCTGTCTTTTCAATTTATGGGAGAGTAAAACTGGAAAGGCATCTTAGAGTTTACTTGGCCCAACTCCCCACATCATACAGCTGAGGCCCAGGGAAAGTAAGATGATTTGTTCAAGGCCCCACAGTTACTAAGAGGCTGAAAAAGGAGGAACTCCCTCAGGTTTTTAAAAATTCTAAATAAAAAATCTTGACTTCTGAAAGGTATTATCTAATAATTTAGTTGGCTACTTAAAGTACTTTGGGATCCTATTCTCCTCAGTATTTTTGGGGCCTTTTCAACTCAACATTTTTCAGACAGCAGCAAACTAATCTGTTACATTATCTATACTGAAAAGAGTTCAAAGTCCCCTTCTTCTCCATTGACAGCTTTTAAATGAAATCTTTAGAAACCCAATGCAGAAAAAATATAAAAGCAGAGCTGCCTTGATTAAAACATACAGGAGTCCTGCTTTTACTTGCTGTTTTGTCCTGGAAGCCCCTGAAATACTTTCTTGGCATCTTAGGTGTCAAAGAAACAGTTTATTTCTAATGTATGAGAGTGTTCTAGGGTGCTGCTACTCAAAATATGTTCCTCAAACAATCAGCATCACTGAGGAGTTTGTTAGAAATGCACAATATGAAACTTCAACTCAGGCCTACTGAAAAATCACAACGAGCATATTTAACAAGATGCCTAGGTGACTGATAGGCACATTAATGTTTGAGAAGTTTCTCAAATGATATGAAGAAACACACACACACAGACAAACACACACACACTCTGCAGACCCAAATTTTTATTAGAGTTACATGACACACAATTACTACAGCTATCTTGTCATGGACCAACAACAAACAGTTTACAGACTCACACTTGGGGTAGCAATGCTCTATAGCAACCAAACCTTAAACGGTGATCCTGATCAAATCACAACACCTGATATACTAAGAAGTTAGAAACTTACTTCTTATCAAAAAATGTTGAATTCTCCTTCCTCTTGGTGAATCCGTTGGGTAGAAGTTTTAAATTAATACCTTGCCTTCGGGCACGATTTTTCATAAAGTACATCTACCAACCAAAACCAAACAGACAAATTAACTTTTAAATGCTTCAAATTTAAAAAGTGAGTAAAACAATTGTTCAATAATAGTTTAGATTTACTGAAAACCTAAGTGTTACAACAGCTCTAAGAAGTAATCTCATGTAATCTTCACAATGATACTATCAGAATAGGTATTATCATCTCCATTTCAGCAATAAGAATTAGTGAGATACCAACATTATACAGCTATCCCAGAGAGAAAGAACCTGTATTCAACCCAGGTCTAATTCTAGAGCTTGTGTTTTTAACCATAAGTGCTATGAGTCAAAGAATAATTTAATGGAGATTAAAACAAACAAACAAACAAACAGGTCATTTGGCAATCATAGGGGCTACCTACACAATTCTTGATTGCTTTTACTGATGGTTTTACCAGTTAGTTGTATGTATCCCTGATTTTATTAGTAGACAATTCACTCAAGGGAAGAGCCATGGCACTGCCTAGTACCAGGCCTAGCTTAAAGTAGCCACTGTTGTGTGAAGCACAAAATGGGATATGAGAACATTCTTGCTTTGACATGTGTACTACATTGACCACGTGGGTTGATTAAAAGCTAAACTGGAGAATTCCAGAGTTACGAAGGAATTAATACCAGATTTTTTATTAAGTCAAGGAAAAAGATCACTCAAAGAAAAGGTAAAGTATAAATGCAAGTTTTCTGTTAAATGAATATGGATCTAGAATTTGCAATGTAAAATGGTAGAGTCAGAATCAAGTCATGAGCCAAGGGAAAGAATGGGTCAGCTATCACTGGCTAAGCAGGAAACTGTCTGAAGAAATTGCATGTAATTTTCTAACTTAGAGGACTTTGGTTTCAGTAATGGTATTGATTACTATAAATAATTATAATAGCAGTGATCAATCCTCCCAATATACCTTCAGGAAAAGGGTGAACCAGAAACTATCACTATTTTGAGAGCAAGCTAGGGAACTTGTATGGTTACACTGAAATAGAGGAAAAAAAAAAGTCCATTAGCAGCTATGGCTATGGGCCATCCTTTGCTTAGATTTGCAATTATTTTGCCTTGCAAACATCAATGAATAGCCAAACACTAGAGAAAAGGAAGTGGGAGGCCTTAATCAGATAACAAGTTTCAGTAAAAAACTAAAATAATTGAGAGAGTAGTATTGGTGCAGGATAGACCAGTAGGTCAATGGAATGGAAAAGACAAGCCCACAAAATAACCCAAGCATATAGGGATGCTGATATATAACAAAGGTGGTCCTACAGAGCAGTAGGGAAAGGATGAACTTTCCAATAAATGGTGCTGGGAAAAGTGGATCATCTATATGAAAAATTAAATGGGACCTTCTCTGTACATGATACCAAAAATCAATTCCAGTTAAAGACATAAGTATAAAATGCAATAGTATAAAGCTTTTAGGCAATAATTATGAGGGAATAACTTCCTAACTCTCATCAGAAATTAGAGAACTGCACATTGAAAACCATAATAAAATTACATAGCCAACAGATTGACAAAAATTTTTAAAGTCTTACCAAATTAAGTATTGGTGAGAATATGACAACAGGTACATTTATACACTACTGGTGAGAGTGTAAACTAGTATATCACTTTGGAAAATGTTTTGGTAACATCTAGGCAAACTGAAGATATGCATACCATAAAACAAAGCAATTCTATTCTCAGGTATAAACCCTAGAAAAACATCTTCACACACATAAAGATCAGGGAAGGGCATAAGAGGGTGGCATGGAACTTCTGGGAAGCCAGTAATGTTCTAATTCTAGACTTGGGTGGTAGTTACATGAATGTTCATTTTATAATTTTTCATTATACTGTGTATTTCCATTCTGTGACTTTCTAAAACAAATACATGCTGTATTTTACAATTAAAAAAAAGTTTTAAAGTAATTTATCTCTAAGTAGAATTTTAATTGTGCCTAATTAAGTTTGAGGAAAAATAAGAGTTGCTGTATAAATAATTTTCTTTCAGATACATGTAATATAATACCAATAAAAAATGCCAATACCAATAAAATAAGGTATTTAAAAGGTATTAAAATCCTGCAACTCCAATACTAAAATGAACACAATTGCAGGATATGATTTAATCATACCATGAACGAATTTTTGTAACGCCAGTTGCCAAACATTCCAAATATGTAAGCTGTACTTCTGCATAGTATTTAAGGAATGAAAAAGGCAATGCAAGAGTATGAAAATTAAGTGTATTAGAATAGCAAGTCTTAGCTTTTCCTTCAAAATCAGAATCTAATCCCCTCTCAATAATTCTAAGGGCATACCCAAGCCACTATTATCTCACAAGGATCACGCGAAGAGCTGCATAAATGGTCTCCCTGCTTCCAATCTTCCACTCTTGCCTCCCTAAAGTCCACAGAGCAGCAAGAGTGGTTTTTCAAAAGGCAAATTTTTGTCCAAAATCCTTCCATAGTTTCCATTTGCACTTAGAATTAGAAACCCTCACCAGTTTCTTTTTCTTCTTTCTTTTTCTTTTGAGACAGAGTTTCACTCTGCTGCCCAGGTCGGGGTGCAGTGGTGCAATCACAGCTCACTGCAGCCTTGACCTTCCTGGGCTCAGGTGATCCTCCTACCTCAGCTTCCCAAGTTGTTACAGGGGCACACCATCATGCCTGGCTAATTTTTGTATTTTTTTTATAGAGACGGGTTTTTCACCATATTCTCCAGGCTGGTCGTGAACTCCTGGGCTCAAGCAAGGCTCCGGCCTCAGCCTCCCAAAGCGTTTGCATTACAGGAATGAGTCTCTGCACCCAACTCCTCAACAGTTTCTCTAACTTCATGTTTAATACTCTCCTTCTCACTCACCATGCTTCAATCACCCTGCCCATCTTTTAATTCCTCAAACACAACATCCTTGTTTCTAACTCAGGTCTTTCCTTTTACTTTTGCCTCTAGTTGGAATAATCTTCCTCCAAATGTTCACATGACAGCCTCTTTCTCATCATTCAGATCACTGCTTACATATCATCTCTTAGAGAAGCTTCTCCTGACCGCTGTATTGAAAATGGTACCCTGACAATCTCTCCCCCACAAAGACCATTTTCATTCTGTCTTTCATCTCTTGAGCCTTCTTTATTTTCTGTATGAACTTAACTCTATCTGAAATTATATTTGTTCCTCTACTCATCTCCTCCATCTCCCACTAAATACAACTCCACGAGGGGAAGGACTTTGTTTTGGTCACAGTCACATCCTTACGTAATCAGAATAGCCCTACAAGATAGTAGTCACTTAATATATTTGGTAAGTTAAAAAAAAAAAAAGGAATCTAATTGATTGGAAGGACTTCTAACTGGAAGGAATTAAAAAAAGTCTTACATGTTTATTGCTTATTGGTCTTTTCAAAAAAGCATCTCTAGAAATATGGTCCGCTGTTCTTGCCACATCTTCCAAAAAACGATAATCTAAAAATTTCAAAACAGAAGAATAAATAAATGACATATACCAATGGCCAGGGAGCATCAATTTGCTATGCATAAAGTGGCTTACCACTTAGGAGATTCATTTCAGTAAACTGTTGTATTGAAATGTATGCAGTTTTATCTCGAACTCCATTACATGTCAGTTCTGTTTTGTGTTTCTTTACACAGGGCAAACTGAGGAGACAAAGGAGAAGCACTTTTATATTTTAGGGTAAGAAAGGTACACATACAGGTTAAAAGGTAGGAAGTTACATGTATACCTGCAGGAATACCGCATACAACGTGGACACCTGTACTTTGCTTCTTCTGTACCACACGTTTCACACCTACAAAAGCCCATGTGTAACATTAAATTATCAAATATTAATTCTACTTATTTATAAACTTAGAATGTCCCAATCAATTTATAAATGTAGTGACAACTCTGATAAAATATTTGACAGCTGTTGAACATCATTTGAAAACTCTCTGTGAAACCTTCCCCCCAAACAACTACACTTCCAATGTTGCTAGTGATATGTAATTCAAGAAAATGTAATAAAATCTTTAAAACCCATCTGGTTTTTGACTTCTTCTTTTACTATAATCATATAATGAGATTATTCACTGATACTTTAACTTGTGATTCCTGGAAATGTGGTAATGATTGTATGTGTGTGAATCCAGAAGACCAATCCGTGAGCTATGTTTAGATATTTTTAAAGCACACGCACCAGGAAAAGAATATAAGGACAAGTCGAATTTAGAGAGTAGCAGTAACATCTTTTTTCCTGAACTTCACACCTAATCTAGAATGTGCATCAAAATAATCTAAAAATCCCATGTAACCCATCACCTGTCCTCAACTGCTCTTCTAGGCTTTTGGGATACTGTCAACCAAACTACAGTTACTTCTATTTAGACCACTGAGCTCCAGACGTTAATATTCCCAAGAATCTGACCTCTCTTATTTCCTTTGTCACATGATCCACACACCAAGGAAATTAAATCAAAAGCAATAAATATTCACAACACCCATGCAGAGACTTGGTAACTGAGGTCAAGTGTATCTTTGTCATTGTTGGATATATTAGACTTTCTCATCTCTATTCTCTCTCAAAGGAACATGAGTAAAGAGCATATTAACTCAAGCCAGATCCAGTTCCAAAGAACGTTCACTTTCCTAACTTGACCATTACCCAATGGACACTACCAATTTCATATATTTTCACCGAATTTGTTGTGTTGTCATCTACAATACCCTCCACTTCCCAACCCACCCCCACGAACCCAGACTGACTCCAGAAACCCAAACTTGTGCTTATTTTTCATTATTTCACCTTCTGCTGATAGGGTGGTTTTTCCTTTCACTCTAGACATGAGGACGCAACAGCTTTATATCCCCGAATGGAATTCCCCCGGCCCTACCTTGACATGGCCAGTTTCCGCTTGCAGCCCACCAGGTGATTTACTGGAGGCTCTTCTTTCACCTTTGTATCATCCACGGCTTCTTTCTTCTCTTCTTTTACACACTCTCCATCCATCATCTCCTCTTTTATGCACTGACCAACAAACTTCTCCTCCCGTTTTATCTGCAAGTTATCCTTCTCTTCCTTCACTTCTGGCCAGTCCATTACCTCTTCCTTCACCTTCTCTTCCTTTACCTCTGGGTCATCCACTTTCTCTTCTTTTATCACCAAACTACTATCCGTCTCCTGCTTCACCTCCAACACGCCTGCGTTCTCATCCCTCACCTCAGGCCTATCCTCCACCTCCTGTTTTACCCACTGGCCAGCTAACCTGCCTGCGGTATCTGGCCAGTCCATAATTTCCTCCTTCACTACCGTTAGGTCCATCGATATTTCCTCTGGCCTTTGCCCACTTCCTTCCTCTCCATCCCTTATCTTCTTCATCCCTGTCAGTCCTTTCCTCTCCTCTCCGCCGCCGGCCTCCTCCGCCCCTGCTAAGTCCCTGACTCCCTCCCTACCAGACTCTGGACTTAGCCGCACCCCCTCAGCTACACTTTGGAGGCCTCCCCCAGACTTCCCTTCGTTTTCAGCAGCAAACTCCATCAACTCACGATCCTTGGCCTCTGCTGCCACTCTGTCTTTCAGCGTGGCTGCTGCACACCAACAGGAGGAATTATCGGCCGGAATACCTACAGCGGCCCACGTGCGGGGACAAGCAGCCAAATACCCAGAATAGCCTGCTTGACGCGACAACTCGAATCGCCGTAAAGCAACGCTTTTGCGCCTCGCCACTTCACGACTTGTAGAGCTCTTTACGGCTCTGCGGCGGACCTGCCAGATTGATCGGGGGAACCTGAGTAAACTGCGTGACTTGCCCACTGGGATTCCCGCCTCCCGCCCAGGTTCCGCCCCACCCTTCCTCTAGGGAAACCTCCTGGGCCACACCCTAGGCCACCTGTCACGCCCTACTGGGTGTGAAGAGTAGAGGAGCCCAGCGGAGGGAGAGAAGTAAAACCCTTAGACTCTGGAAATGGGAAAACCCACTCTAATCTGTTAACGATTAAATCCAATCATCCAATCTTGAATGAAAGCGGAGGACACACCTGACGCTACGCCTTTCCAAGCTGTAGTTTCTTAAGGCTGTAAATTAAGGACCATGTTATTAATAATACAAATCTCCTAGTGTAATTGCGAAGATTATGAGATTATACGTGGGAATCAACTAGCAGCGACCTACACAAACTCCTCCTCCCCCTCCCTGCGTCCTCCTCCTCCTTCTTTTTGTTCAGGTCAGAGTGCAGTGGCACGATCTTGGCTCACTGCAACCTCTGCCTCCCAGGTTCAAGCGATTCTCCTGCCTCAGCCTCCCGAATAGCTGGGATGACAGGCATGTGCCACTGTGCCTGGTTAGCAACTTTCTTTCTTTTGAAAATTGTGTTGGTTATTCTTGCTTGTTTACATTTCTGTATAAATGTAGTGTCAGCTCGTAAATTTCTACAAAAGAACTTGTTGGGATTTTGATAGGGGTTGTGTGGAATATATAGATAAGTGTGGGGAGGATTGTCATCTTAACATTGTGTCTTATCCATGAAAATGAAATATTATCCATTTAGATTATCTTTAACTTCACTTAACAATGCTTTGTAGTTTTCAGTGTACAAGTTTTTTGTTTGTTTTTGAGACAGAGTCTTCTTCTGTCATACAGGCTGGAGTGCAATGGCCTGGTCTTGGCTCACTGCAAACTCTGCCTCCCAGAATCAAGGGATTCTCCTGCCTCTGCCTCCCGAGTAGCTGGGATTACAGGCGCCCACCGTCACACCCAACTAGTTTTTGTACTTTTAGTAGAGATGGGTTTTTACCATGTTGGCCAGGCTGGTCTTGAACTTCTGACCTGGTGATCCTCCCGTCTTGTCCTCCCAAAATGCTGGGATTACAGGTGTGAGCCACTGCACCTGGCCTTAGTGTACAAATTTTTACATATATTTTGCTAAATTCATTCCTAAACATTTTATTCTTGATGTGATTTAAAAAAAAAAATTGAGACATGGTCTCCCTCTGCCACCTAGGGTGGAGTGCCATGGCACAATCATGGCTCACTGCAACCTTGACCTTCTGGGTTCAAGCTATTCTCCCACCTCAACCTCCCCAGTAGCTGGTAACACAGGTGCATGCCACCATGCCTAGCTAAATATTTTTTGGTACTTTTTGTAGAGATGGGGTTTCACCATGTTACCCAGGGTGGTTTCAAACTCCGGGGCTCAAGGGATCCGCCCACCTCAGCTTCCCAAAGTGCTGGGATTACAGGCATTAGCCACAGCACCTGCCTTGATATGATTTTGAATGAAATTTTTAAATTTCGTTTTGGATTTTCCATTGCTAGGAGGCAAAAATACAATTTTTGTATTTTGATTTCATATCCTGCAACTTTAATAAACTCACATTTTATACTATATATAATTGGATTCAATTAACTTATATTTTGTTTTGGAGTTTTCATCTATGTCTATGAAGGATATTTATTTATCTGTAGTTCTTTTTTTGTGTAAAGTTGTGAGGTATTGTTATCAGAGTTTGCTGCAGATATTTTATGTTTCCCATCTTTTTTTTTTCTTTTGGATTCTCACTCCATCACCCAGGCTGGAGTGCAGTGGCACAATCTCGGCTCGCTGCAACCTCTGCCCCCCGGTTCAAGCCATTCTCCTGCTTCAGCTTCCTGAATAGCTGGGACTACAGGCACACCACCATGCCTGGCTAATTTTTTGTACTTTTAGTAGAGACGGGGTTTCACTATGTTGGTCAGGCTGGTCTTGAACTCCAGTCCTTGTGGTCTGCCCACTTCAGCCTTCCAAAGTGCTAGGATTACAGGTGTGAGCCATCGTACCTGGCCTACATTTTTCATCTCTTTATTGTTTTCAGATAACTTTCTGGGAGAGTTCTCCAAGTAATTTTAATTTCTACCTTACTATTTTGGTATGTGATGGTATGCAATCTGTGAGTCAACCTATATCTAGTAAGTTCATTTTAGTTACTATGTTTTTCATAACCATTGTCTCTAGCTTATTATTGCTTCATATTTCTAATATCCCTCTTTATCTCTCTGGAGCTATTTCTTTAACTCATTTTATCTTATTTATTTTTTTGAGATGGAGGCTCACTGGTTGCCCAGGCTGGAGAGGAATGGTGTGATCTTGGCTCACTGCAACCTCTGCCTCCCAGGTTCAAGCAATTCTCCTGCCTCAGCCTCCCATAGCTGGGATTACAGGCACCTACCACCATGCCCAGCTAATTTTGTGTTTTTAGTAGAGACGGAGTTTCACCATGTTAGCCATGGTGGTCTCAAACTCCTGACCTCAGGTGATCCACCCGCCTTGACCTCCTAGCATGCTGGGATTACAGGCATGAGCTACCATTCCCGACCTTTAACTGATTTAAAATTCTTTAGGTTTTTGTCTGTCCCTCCAGTATAAATTATCCAGTTAAAACAAATTCTTTTAGAGTTATACTCCTCAGTTGTTATATTTTCTCTGGTGATGTCCTATTCCTTTGTGAGTATTAGCAAGCATAGTTGTAATTCATATTTTGAAGGGAGGATCAAAAGCATAGGAATTGGATTGTACCTCTTCTGGTCATTATTTTGAGTGGGATGCCCAGAAGAAAGGATATTTGGGACACCCCTCAAATAATTTCACATATTCCTTACCATACAGTATTGCTAAATAAAAAGTTCAATCTAGTACTTCCAGTTTTTGAAAAGATAGCAAACCAACAAAGCTATTGTCTCTTGGAGTCTCCAAATCCATTCCTGAAGATGTCACATATGTGAGAGGGGGGTGATAAATTATGATTCTAACTGGGAAACTCTGAAAACCCTTAGGAGGTGAAAGGGAGTTGGGTCCATTGTGGTGAGAAAGGAAAGCCTGAAAGGACAAAGAGGGACACTAATGGAGGTAGGGGGTGGAATGAAAGGATAGAATCTCTGATTGTTCCCTTTTCTACCCTATATTAGCTTAGGTGGATCATAGCCTACCTTGACTCCAGATGGTTATAAAAACACAAAGCCAGCCCAGCAAGTGTCCAAGGAGGCAGAAGAACATCAGGAAAGCTGGTAACTGTGCATTCAGGCTGGTTTAGAACAGGTCTGTTCTTCCCTCCACCCAAAGTCTGGATGATTACCACAGAAGACTGCAGCTCTTGGAAATGGGATGGCAATGTGGGATTACTGGAAGTTAACCTGAGAGGCGTATGCTTTTCATAGGAGGGCCAACTGGGGCTAGTAGAGCTCAGATTGTACCACAAGCAGCTTTCTACCATGAGGCTCATCCACTCTTCTGGGCTTCCCGTGACACTACTCAGATTTTTCCAGGATGCCTAAATGTTTTATTATATTCACAACTTTGAGGCAATGCAGAAACTGCAGATGCTTATCCACAGACTGTTGCATCAGCATCATCTGGTGATGCTGGTCTCTGGGTCTCTCCCTAGAGGTATTTAACAAAATGGAGAGAGTTGTTGGGAAATTTATATTTTTAACAAGTGTCTCTGGGTGCTACTTTTGATGTATAGCCAACTTAGGGAACCATTAGATGAAGGCATTAAAACAGCACTTTGCAATATGGTAGCCATTAGTCACAGTGACTACTGAGCACTTGAAATGTGGTTATCTAAATTGAGATATGCTGTAAATGTAAAATATACTCTGGATTTCAAAGGTTTAGTATATTTAAAAAAAGAATGTAAACGATCTCAATAACACTTTTATACTGATTACATGTTGAAGTGATATTATTTTGGATATATTATGTATATTATTAACATTAATTTCACTTGTTTCATTTCATTTGTTTTCTCATTTCCAACTATCAAACAAAAAACTTGCTAATATCTACTAATTTAAAGTTTTCTACAAAGTTGTTTTTTCATTGTATGAAGACTTGAAAGAAAACTACATAGTATTTTTTGGAATGTATTGAATTCTGTGGGAAACATCTGGGAACAAAAATTATTTTAACTATGATTGTTTTATATAGTGTCTTAGAATTTGTATTATTGGTTAAAGGAGAACCTCTTTTATACACTGAAAATGTTCAAGTGAAAAAATTAAATGTAATAGCAATAAAGTTTATATGAAGTTTTTATTTACTAGTACTTGAGCAAGATCTTTATCCCTTCATGAAGAACGTCCTTTTCATGAAACTGGGTTTCAACTGTTTCCTTCAAGAACTTTATAAAAAGTTTGCCGTGCGCTGTGGCTCATGCCTGTAATCCCAGCGCTTTGGGGAGCAGAGGTGTGTGGATCACTTGAGTTCAGGAGTTCGAGAACAGCCTAGCCAATGTTGTGAAAACTACACCAAAAATACAAAAATTAGCTGGGTGTGGTGGTAAGCGTCTGTAATCCCAGCTACTCAAGAGGCTGAGGCAGGTGAATCACTTGAACCTGGGAGGCAGAGGTTGCAGTGAGCCGAGATCACACCACTGCTGGGTGCTAGAGCAAAAGAGTATCTCAAAAGAAAAAAAAGAAGTGAAAAGTTTTCTTGCAATTCAACTGTAAATTTGTTCTGAACTAGATACCTAATAAAATGCAACTCTTTTTAATGGATTGTTACTGAGGTTATTTTTGTACTCGTGTGCAGTTCTAAAACTCTACTGCTCAGCACGGCCAAGGTGATAGCTCAGATTCCCCATCAGTTACTCATCTCTAAAGAGGTATCATTTGTCTAACTTGGCTTTAAACAATGCCAGGACTCTGAATCCAAAGCACATAGATTGCACAACTGTGTACCCAGGCTGAGGCGACAACAACTGCATCATACCTATCATAGCCAATTAATATATAGGTAATGAAGAAAACGTTACACCTAACAGGACATACACTGAAAGCTTAGCTTACACTTATTTTTGAAACTATGAAACCTGCCAGTCTTGTGTGAGAGAGCCAAACTCTTACATTTTGGTCAGGACATGATCTCTGCCAAAGTGCGTCCTGCCAAACACCATGTTCCTACTGCTCAGGTTGTTTCTGGGCCACTAGAAGCAATCCTCCTCTTTATTACAAAATCATTAAACAAGCACGCAAAAAAAACCCCTTTTTCCTTCCCACGAAAAGAACTACATTTGTGTTTCATTCATGGTGAAAAATGGGAAGATCTAGGTTTTGCAAAGCCTGAAGCTCAGTTTATGCTCTTCTATATGAAAAAGAACTAAAAATTTTATTTTTCCAAACTTTACAAACATAGTGATGTTTCCTTCTCATAACTGAAAAATACATACATGTTTAAAAACTATAACCTCATGTTGTTGGATTCATAACATATGGATGTACTATATATGACAACAATTGCACAAGGATGAAGGGATTAAGCAGAAGCATACTATTCCAAGTGTACAAGGTTCAAGCATACTTTTTTTTTCCGAAGTAATTCAGTATGAGCTCTAAATAGATTGTACTAAATTAGAATTATTGTAATCCCTACATTGACCACTAAAAAATGGAATAAACAGCAGAAATTATTCTCCCATCTTATAGATAAGGAAATTTCTGCTTCTAGTTATGATGGAACTGCTCATACGAGACTAAACCTGCTGCTAAGAACAACTATAAAATCTGAATAAATATAAAAAATAAATATTTGACAGCATCAATGATCACCCAAAGCAACCAGGGCTAGAAGATTAGTAATGAAGAAGGAAGTACACTGAGGTAAACTGGACCTTCTCCAGCACTTTTCACTGGGAAAAATTGCTGGACAGAAAAACTGTATCAGAGAGTTTTTGGAAGTTTTCAAGACTGGTGAGGTGGGGAAGTGGAGAAAAGGTGAAAATGAAACTTGGAGTTCAGGGGTAACAAGGGATAACAAGGTCTTTGTAACCATTCAAGGCATTCAGGTGAGAGACCTGAAGGGCTACCCCATAAAACCAGAAATAGAGCAACTCTCTGAAGGCCTAAAGGCCAGTCTTGAACTATGTAAATCACTGATTGGATCCAACTGCCTGCCAAAAGTAAATTAAATCCTTTTGGGAAGGATTTATTGTCACTCAGAGCTTCTGCAATGTTTTTGTATATATAATATCTTACACTTAACAAAAAATTATTAAATATGTCAGAAGACAAAAATCAAGTGACTGGAAACTAAAAGGAAAAAATAGACAATATAAGTAGACCTTTAGGACATGCAGATGTTGGAATAATCAAATGTGGACCTTAAGTAAATTGTGAACATTGTGTTCAATAAATGATAAATAGGATGGAAGATTTCCATAAAAGGTGACATGAAAACATTAGAATTGAAAAATTACAATTTCTGGCTGGGTGCGGTGGCTCACATCTGTAATCCCAGCACTTTGGCAGGCTGAGGCAGGTAGATCACCTGAGGTCAGGAGTTCAAGACCAGTCTGGCCAACATGGAAAAGCCCATCTCTACTAAAAAATACAAAAATTAGTTGGGCGGGTGGCACATGCCTATAATCCCAGCTACTCAGGAGGCTGAGGTGGAGAATTACTTGAACTTGGGAAGCAGAGGTCAAAGTGAGCCAAGATTGTGCCACTGCACTCCAGCCTGGCTGACAGAGCCAGATTCTGTCTCAAAAAAAAAAAAAAAAAAGAAAAGGAAAAGAAATATTACCATTTCTAATATTAAGAACTCAAAGGTCTTTGTAAATTCTGGATATCAGCCCTTTGTCAGATGGGTAAACTGCCAAAAAAAAAAAAAAAAAAGAACTCAAAGGTGAGTTTAACAGCACATTAGATATAGCAAAAATAGGGTCAGTGAACTGAAAGTTAAGTCAGTAAAAATAAAAAAGATAAACTAAAGCATAAAGATGAAAAGTATACAGAGGGCATAAGAGATATATGTGACAAAGTAAATATATTTCAAATATGTGTGTGTAAAGTCCTAGAAGCAAAGAATAATTGAATCAATAGTAGTAATATTGGAAGAAACTCTCAGCGAAAATTGTCCAAAGTTTACATGAGAAGATCAAGTCACAGATTTAAAAAGCACTTTGAATCCCAAGTAAATAATTACACAGAAATCCACCCGAAGTATATCATAGTAAGATGCTTAAAAACCAAGGAAAAAAAAAAAAAAAAAAAAAAAAAAAAATCCTAAAAGCAAAGAAAAAGACACAATCTTTTCAAATAAAAACAATAAATAAATAAAACTGGCCAGGAGCAGTGGCTCATGCCTGTAATCCCAGCACTTTGCAAGGCTGAGATAGGTGGATCACTGAGGTCTAGAGTTCAAGACCAGTATGGCCAACATGGTAAAACCTGTCTCTACTAAAAATAAAAAAATTAGCCAGGCGTGGTGGTGGATGCCTATAATTCCAGCTACTTGGGAGGCTCAGGCGGGAGAATTGCTTGAATCCAGTAGGTAGAGGTTGCAGTGAGCTGAGATCATGTCATTGCACTCCAGTCTGGATGACAGAATGAGACTGTCTCAAAAATAAAAATAAAATAAATAAATAAAACTTTAAGCTGATATTTAAACAGAAACGATGGAAGCTAGAAGACAGTGGAATAACATCTTTAAAAGAAAATAAATGACAATCTGCAATTCTATACACAGTAAAAAATGTCCCATAGACAAGGGAAATAATTTTCAGACAAAAAAATGATCATTTTTTACCAGCAGATTTACATTAAAAGAAATACTTAAGGAGGTTCTCTACCAGAAGGCAAATTATCCCAGCTGAAAGCATGGTAATGAAGGAAAGAAAAGCATACATTTTTGAGTAAGTCCTCAAAAGCACAGGTAACAAAGCACAAGTACACAGATAGGATTACATCAAGCCTAAAAGCTTCCATTCAGTAAAGAAAACAATCAACAAAAAGTGAGGAGACAACTTACAGAATGAGAGAAAATATTTGAAAATTATCCATCCAAGAAGGGACTAATAACCAGATTATATAGGGGATTCAAACAACCCAATGGCAGATAATAATAATAATACAATAAAAAAATACACAGATGGGATTTCATCAAGCCTAAAGGTTTCTGTGCAGCAAAGGAAACAGTCAACAAAAAGTGAAGAGACAACCCACAGAATGAGAGAACATACTTGAAAATTATCCGACTAACAAGGGACTAATAACTATAATATTTAAGGCACTTGAACAACTCAATAGAAAAAACTCAATAATCCTATTAAAATTAAGCAAAATATATGAATAGATATTTCTCTAAAGATATAACAAAAGGCCTGGAAAGTCTTTACAAAGTAAAAAGAAGAAAAAAAAATAAAGATATACAAAAGGCCAACAGGCATATGAAAAAATTCCCAACATCATTAATAATCAGGGAAATGCATAACAAAACTGCAATGAGACATCATCTTATCCCATTAAGAATGGTTATAAAAAAGAAATAAATGTTCGCAAGGAGACAAAGAGAAAGGGGAATGCTCATACATTGTTGGTGGGAATGTAAAGTAGGATAGCCATTATGGAAAACAATATAGAAGTTCCTCAAATAACTAAAAATAGTAGTTTCTAACACAAAGGAAAAATAAATGTTTGAGGTGATATTCTTATTACCCTAATTTGATCATTACACACTGTAAACATGTATCAAAATATTATATGTATCCCCCAAATATTACATGTATCCCCAAAATATGTACAACTGTTACATATCAATAAAATATTTTTTAAAACAATGAAAAAGAAAAGCATAGAAAATGATAAATAGGCAGAAAAAAACTAAATGAACAATCAGTTTAAAATATATAGGGTTTTAAATACATGTATAATAAAAATACATGAGACTAATACCACAAAGTGTCAAGAAGAGATAAATGGAATTAAAGTGTGGTAATATTCTTGTATTGTCTGAAAAGTGAAAAAGTACTAACTTTTTTTTTTGAGACAGAGTCTCACTCTGTCACCTGGGCTGGAGTGCAGTGTCATAATCTCAGCTTGTATTATCTGAAGAGTCTCACTCCATCACCTCGTCTAGAATGCAGTGGTACAATCTCGGCTCACTGCAACCTCCACCTCCTGAGGTGATATTCAAGCAATTCACCTGCCTCAGCTCCCAAGTAGCTGGGATTACAGGCATGTACCACTACACCTGGCTAATTTTTTTTTTTTTTTGTATTTTTAGTAGAGACAGGGTTTCACCACGTTGGCCAGGCTAGTTTTGAACTCCAAACCTCAAATGATCCACCTGCCTCAGCCTCCCAAAGTGCTGGGATTACAGGCATGAACCATCGCACCCAGCTGAAAAGTACTAATTTATATAGCTTCTACAAAGTCAAGGATATGAAGGTAGCCACTGTTGTCTCTAGGGTAGCCACTAAAAGAATAACAATAACGTATGCCTAGTAGCTAAAAGAGGAAACACAGAATAAAAATATTTTACCAATCAAAAGGAGAGCAAGAAAGGGGGAAAAAGGAAACAAATTAGAGATGAGATAAATACAAAATAATAGTAACAGGTTTAAATGCAAATGTAACAGTAATTACATTAAATGTAAACACACCAATACTCTAATTAAGTCTAAAGTTGCCAACGTGGATTAAAAATAAAGATACAACAACATGCTACTTATAAGAAACAGAATAAAGAAAAGAATGCAGAAAGGTTAAAAATGAA